GAGTGGAAATGACAGCATTATACTAATTAGTAGAATTCCCTTTTTAACGTTCGTGGTAAAGTTTCCCACAGCGCAGCAACCACGTTAATGTGGTGGTTTATCACGTTCTTCCTTTTCTCTCAATTATTTCTGTTCATTAAGGTGTTCCTTGGCTCTCTCTCTCTTCTCTCTCTCCTCTCTCTCTCTTCTCTCTTCTCTCTCCTCCCTCCCTCTCTCCCCCCTCCCTCTCTCCTCCCACCTCTCCCTCCCTCCTCTCCCTGCCTTCCCTCCCTCCTGGCTGCTACTGGTCACTTCCATCCCCCGATCCTCCCACACTTTCATTAACGCTTCTAATCAACTTGTCTTCAGTTTCTGCCTCCTCCCCACCACGCCCACCTGGCTTCCGTGCCTTCACATATCGAGATAGGAGGAGGAACGGTGGGTGGATGGAGGGGTGGAGGGGGGATGTATGTGATGAGTGAGTGTGTGTGTGTGTGTGTGTGTGTGTGTGTGTGTGTGTGAGTGTGTGTGTGTGTGTGAGTGTGTGTGTGTGAGTGTGTGTGTGTGTGTGTGTGTGTGTGTGTGTGTGTGTGTGTGTGTGTGTGTGTGTGTGTGTGTGTTTTCATGTACTTTATGGATCTTCTTGTAATACATAGAAAAATAAAAAAAAGTTATAAGATACGGCCGTCCATATTACATAACCGATTTGAGTGTTTTGCCGACCATTAACATTCTCGTGGACAATACCGAGCCCGTCAGGTCCAAGCCCGTGACATGCCGAAGCGCACTAATGAAGAGTCAGCGCTCGAGGCCATTTACGGTCTTTTGTTCCTTCTTCGCTCACGGGGGCGGCGCCCACGCAGACGGCGAGTGCGCTGCGCCCTCTCTCTGATACGATGATGGCGGTGTGACAGACGTGGGCGTGGGGAGGACGCCCGCGAAGGGATGGGTAGAGCGCGCGGTAATAGCGGTGTAAACAAAGCCCCGACATCGGCTGCCTAAGTGCCCGATTGAGGTTTTTTCATTCATATGGAAATCGGCGTTTTTCTCGTCGTGCGCCGAGGAACGCCCGACGGCCCGAGGCGCGGCGCCGTTTAGGCTTTATCTCGTGTTTCTGGGGAAGATTGCGGCTCTCTTACGGGCAGCTACACAACTACCTGGGATAATTTATTTATCTTGGAGGTGATTTATGGGACGAGGCGAGACAGGGTTGGAGAAGAGGCTGTGGGTAGGCCGGGAATTCTAATGAAGGGCTTTTGCATAATTTCTAATTGAAAATGATCGGGCGTCTGTTTTCTTTTTAATATTGTGATGTTTCGTTATGGTTCACGTTTTTTTTATTTCGTTGTCTGTAAGCATCAACGTTATTTTCACTTCCTTAGAAATTGGTATTTGTTGGGAAAATAAACCGGAGACGAGAGGACAAACACTTGAGGTAGGCCTACTTATCGGAAGTGGGAATTGGCGGACGCAGCCCTAGAAAACTCTCAAGTTACAAAGTCGATGGAACTCGAGTTGGTGCTCCCAGAACCCCCCCGAGGAAGCAGCGGTCGGGGGCCAAGTACTCAAGTGGTCACGCGAGATGAAGTGGTTCCTAGTCTCACACAGACTCGTCCACGGGAGATTTGATGGGCGTCCTGCTTGCGGAAATAACTGCTTGGCCCGTCAAAATTGGCAAAAAAAAAAAGTCTAGCTGTTTCTTTTACGAAATATTTCCTCAAATCTTACGTTGGCTGGAGTGATTCCTTTTTTCTTGGATAAATAAAGCATATTTGGAGCTTATCTGCAATCAGTTTGTCGGCTGTGTTCGATCTCCGCCCGGCGCGAGGTAGCGAGCCGGCGTGCAGCTTGCAGCCCCGAGCCGTGCAACCTGGGGCAAGCGGGGAAGGACCTCTGAAGTACAGTAATAACAGGCCGAGCCGCTCCTTCACCTCCCCGCCCTTCTGGAGGAGAGCCAGCATCCGCACCCATGGCCCCCTATACATGCACCCTCTACGCTGGTCCGTGTGTAGGGTCAGTGTTCATGTACTTTTTTCTATCCTGTCCTTTCCCATTTCTCTCCTGTTTGAATTCATTTAATTTCTTAGCGTACCACCGTTTGTACATGTATTCTTCTTCATTTCGCATCAGGTACCTGTAATTTTCCTAGTTTTCGCTTCACATTTCGCCGAGGCCTCTGGTGTCCGAGCTTCGCCACGAGGAGTGTCGGTGACCGCCGGTAGAGGGCACGCGCGGGAAGCCGCCGCCGCCGCTGCAGTGTTTTTGCGGTTTCATGTTAGCTTGTGGTTACAGATTCCTTGATATTACGCTGTCCGTAGTAGCGTGCGATGGTACAACTTCCTGAAGTTTGGATGTTGATGTTTTCTTTTGTACAATTTATACACCAAGTGATGGACAGCAAACCTCAGGCATTTATTTTTATCTTTACCTCTCTCTCTCTCTCTCTCTCTTTATCTCTTCCTGACAAAGACCTGTTCGATGCCTATCTACACATGTGCCATTATTGTCTTCCTGGTTCTTTGATCTTGCGATGATGGGTTTGCACAGGACGATCAACCCTCCTTCCTGGATTGTCGTGGGAAAGTCCACTCTCCCTGAAACTCGAAAACACCACAGATATCGGGACGGCTCGGGTGCAGAATGGAAGGAGATGGAAACGCGAGGGAAAGTCGGGGCAGAGGAGGAGGGAAAGAGGGGAGTAGACAGGGGGGGAAGAGAGAAAGGGAGGATTAGACAAGGAGAGAAAGAGGGGAGTAGACAACGAGGGAAAGATTGAACGAGAGAAGTAGACAAGGAGAGAAAGAGAAAAATAGACAAGGAGAGAAAGAGAGAAGTAGACAAGGAGAGAAAGAGAGAAGTAGACAAGGAGAGAAAAAGGGAAGTAGACAAGGAGAGAAAGAGGGAAGTAGACAAGGAGAGAAAGAGGGAAGTAGACAAGGAGAGAAAGAGGGAAGTAGACAAAGAGAGAAAGAGGGAAGTAGACAAGGAGAGAAAGAGAGAAGTATATAAGGAGAGAACGAGAGAAGTAGACAAGAAGGGAAAGAGAGAACGAGAGAAGTGAGCAATTAGAGAAAGAGAGGAGTAGACGAGGAGAGAAAGAGAGAAGGAGGGGAGTAACCGGGGTGCAGGTCGTGGCGCGGAAGACCAGGGTAGCGGGATTCCGTACCTCCAGGCTTCAAGGGTCCTGGCACGAGCTGCGGCCACACTGCTGCCTCTACCTTGACTTTGAAACTTCGTAAAGAGAAATCCACCACGGTAAAAAAAAAAAAAAAAAACTTTCTCCGGTTTAGGGCCTGAAAACAAATGTTGCAGCTCCATTCAGTTTGAGGATTTTTTTTTAATTGAATAGATTAAATTGTATTGGAATTGAGAAACGAACGAATTCTAACCGTTTCCTGGATAACGCACTGTCTATTGTACTTGCTTCAGGTAGAATGCTGTGTCGTGTTCTTAAGTCTGACCGTTGCAGTCGATGTGTAAGTTCACCGCGATCACGAATGCGATACCTTTTTTTTTCTAACAAGGAAAAAAACGAGGAAAAAACGTGTCGGCTTGTCCATTGCAAAGGTTATTTTTTCATCCATTTTTGATGACGGTAGGAATAGCTTATATTCACGACGAGTTGCGAATTCACGACGAAGACTTCACGCGGGTATTTTGAAAGGGAGGTTGGTGCACTTGCCGAGTTGCGAGGAGAAGCTGAGCGTGAAATCATCCGACATTACAGCGTGCAGCGTCTCGTATCCTGTAGCGGCGCCGAGTACAGTTCCTCGCGACGACGGGGTGGTCGTTCCCTCGTGACGTGCGTGGATCTTTCGATATTTGCGGGGGCTGTTTTTTTCCGGTGTTTTTTTTTTCTTCTTCTTCTTTTTTACTGTGTTCTGTGCCTCTCACACGCCGGGTCTCATTGAAGTAAATCGTAGCGGTGATCATCCTCGCAACGTGAGGTTTCGACGAATTCTCAGCTCCTTCCCCCTTCCCCTCCTCCCTCCTTCCTCCTTCCTTCCTCCTTCCTTCCCCCTCCTTCCTCACCTCCTCCCCTCTTTCCTCATCTCCACACCTACTTCACTTCATCTTCATCTTCACTTCCTCTCTTCCTCACCTCCTCATCTCCTTCCCCCTTACTTCCTCCCCTCCTTCCTCGCCTCCTCCTCCTCCTCCTCCTTCTCCCCCCCTCCCCCACCTCCCGTCCTCATCTCCGTCTCCTTCCTGCTACTTCCTGTTTCTCGTCCAGGTCGTTCCCTCTCTGGTTATCCTTCTTCTCCGAGGTTGTAAGTCTAAAAATCTTTTCTCTCTCGTCTCCTGTTCTTTTAAATCCTTATCGTCCACTTTCTTCTACTTATCCTTCGTATTGTAATCGATTTTGTCCCTCTTGTTGCTGGTAGATCTCTCTCTCTCTCTCTCTGTCTCTCTCTCTCTCTCTGTCTCTCTCTCTCTCTCTCTCTCTCTCTCTCTCTCTCTCTCTCCTCTCTCTCCCTCTCTCTCCCTCTCTCTCCCTCTCTCTCCCTCTCTCCTCCCTCTCTCTCTCTCCCTCCCTCTCTCTCTCCCTCCTCTCTCTCTCCCTCCCTCTCTCTCTCCCTCCCTCTCTCTCTCCCTCCCTCTCTCCCTCCCTCCCTCCCTCCCTCCCTCCCTCCCTCTCTCCCTCTCTCCCTCCCCCTCCCCCTCCCCCTCTCCCTCTCTCCCTTTTCTCTTTTTTCTCCTCAGCGTCACCTACAAACACGAGGGTTATCGCATCTTCAATTAGCCGATAACTATATCTTTGAACCCCGTTTCTATGTTTCTTTTTTCTCCCCTAATGGTTTCCTTTTTCGCATGAGTGATTAAATTGTATTTTATTTTGTGTGTGTGACAGCGGAAGAGATAAAACGTTTATAAACATTTGATTAATTAAGTTTTGGGTATATTTAAGTGCATGTTTTAATTAAGTTTCAGAAAACGTCTACTTAAACTGTCAGATTTATTTTTTTCGTTGTTTCCTTTCTTTTGACTTCAGTTATGCATTATAATTTTTTCTCCCTCAGGTTCTCTGGCACCTGGACATCTTCCGACGGAGTTTCCGTGAACTGAACGGACACGCGTGTATGGCAGAAGCTTGCATCTTCTGCGCTCTTAAGGTTGGTAACGTGTTTTTTTTCCTTTTATTGGGTGGTGGCTGTATCGAGGAGGACTGTCTGCATTCAAGACTGAGCATGTCCTTGGGTCGTTCTTGTGTCATGGTATCCTGTGTACTAATGACAGAATCGATAAACCAAGAGCGAGGGCAGGTGGCGTCTTCCTTCGCATTTTCAATTCCAGGCTTAAAATGTCGGGGATTCATTTTGCGGTGTTCCGGTACGGGTAGCTATGCGCGTCGCGATGTCTACGAGAGAATGAATGCCTTTGGGTGAGAGAGGTGGGGGGTGAGGGAGGGGGTAGATAGGCTGGGTTCGGCGTAGAGAAAGTAGGTCTCGCCCTCTCGCCCACTCTCCGCCGTTCTCCATGCCCGCACCTCCATCCCCGGGTCTCCTTGGTCGTCTCCCCGCTGGCTGGTACCCTGTCTCGACTCTCCGTAGCTCTGTAGAAGGCTGGTCAGAGAGGAAGTTTAATTATACTCGATTTTTGCTGTTGTTGTTGTTGTTGTTGTTGGTGTGTTTGGAGATCTCAGCGACGCTCGATTTTCTCTTTTGTATTTGCTTGACCATTTGCATCCAAAGGCTCTGTATTTTCTCCTCTTTGTAATGATGATAATAACAACAATTAGGCTTTCGAGGGTTGTGTGTATACGATACAGTTATCTCGCGGACGTCACTCTTTGTTATCCACGGACGCCAAGGGTCAGATAATTACGATTTCCCCCGTGACCTGAGATGGCTTGGAGGGCCGACAGGTCACGCGGCTCGACTCCCCCCTGAGGGTGACTGTGAAGTTGTCCCTGACCTACAATAAGGCTGGGTAAGATTCACTTCAAAGGGTAATCAAGAGCTTATTCTTCGTGACAAAGGCTTATGTGAAGCCGTGGAGGGCTAAGGGCAGTTCCGTTCGAATGTAATGACGAGGGATTTCCATCCGGTGGAGAATTCATGGAAAAAAAATCGCCGCGTTCAACAGCTTCACGTTATGTTTGAGTGATCGCTAATTTCTATAATGATGTGGGCGTGCGGTAAGAAAAAAAAGACATTTTCCTTATCGTGAAACTTTTGCCTATTATAGAACAAATCTGTGACTCCTCCACCCCCATTATCCAGCTTCCTCCCCCTTCAACCCTACTATTCACCCCCCTTCACCCCACTACCTCACAGATTGTCCTACACTTCCCGTGGCTTCCGGGAGAGACGCAGGAAAGTTGCTTCACGCGGAGACCTCTTCCAATCCCCCGCTGGGTGTACCGGCGAGAGTAGGGAAGCTCCGGGTGCTGGTGAAGCGCGAGGGGACAGTCCATGACGTCCAGGGATGCTAAACTAACTTAGGATAACGGCGGGGAGTCTGCTCTTAGGTTCTGAGACACGCGGTGGTCCCAGCGGATGCTCTGGTCGATGAGGGAGATGCGGTTTAATATCGGAGTCTTTAGTTTTAATAACACTAGTCTTAAGTAACAGAGGAGTAAGGGTAATGTAATGTTGCTTCAAGTTGGTAGCTAAAAAAAAGCAGGTCAGAGGTGGGTTAGCTTTGTGTAGGTGTGTGCAGTAATTGCGATCCATTGATATCGTCATTCTGTACCTTGCATCTTGTTCATTACGGCTCATTACAAGTCCCCAGTTTATCAAAGGGTTTCTTTGTAACGTCACTGGTTAATGGGGGTGATAATATTAGCAGTGTCGTCACAGCAAACACAAAAGGAAAACAAGTGTTACTTCAGATGAGTAATTAAGATAACACCGGGTGCAAGGGAGTCTGATCAGTTCTCACAAATCGGGCATCCATTCCATTCATCATCCCTGCACCTGGAGGATAACCGGTCTGGCAGGACGAGTTCACGACGGGAATATCAAAGCGAACTCTTAAATGTTCTACATCACGTAGCATACATACGACACAATCCATTGGAAAGAACACATCGACGCACTTGGATTCGCTGTGTGTGGTCTTGAATATATATTTTTTTAAGCCGAGTGTGGGTTTGATTTTGACGTTTCGTGGATCGTTTAATCGAGGATGTATTAGTGTTCGTCGGGTCTATTTATGTAAATAAAATCAGAGTCGTGGTTGGTTGGAGTTCATTAAGAGTCGGACTTCCTTCCCTGCTCGCGTGTCTGCTCCCTTATACGTGGTGCTAATGACGTCGCTTGTAATTGATAATTCATGGGGCTAATCATGTCCCAAAGCTAGCGCCCAAGAAAGGGCCTTCTTTGGGATGTAATTAAGGTGCGGGGAACGTGGTGCGCGGCGACCTACCAGTGCCACGGGCTGGGATGGGGACGCGGGTGTTCTGTGGTGATGATGAACCGCCCGGCTTGTTAGGTGGCTGTCATGCGGTACTGTCGAGGTATGACAAGAGCTGCTGCGAGGTTGTGTGAGAAGATCAGTAAGAATACATGCGAGTTTAATAACGATTTTGATTTATTGTCGTCAGTATCATCCATTTTTATACTATACTAGAAATGTGTTTTACGGTCAATAGTTTCTAGTGTTTAAAGGGCCCCGTCCACATTAGAAAACTTTGTGTTAAAATAAGTACTGTCATAATGTAAATTAGTATATGATGCGTACTTGTAAGTTAATATATAGTATTATAAGATAATACAGAGTAAAATATAAATTATACATAAGTATGGTTATAATGTATACACACGAAATCGTTTCACGTTCTAACTGGGAAACATAAATACTTTGTTTGAAAAATTGCAAACTGTTTGAATATTGGTGGCATACAGGATACAGTTTGCACACATTGGTTATAAGTCAAGTGTCTTGGTGTGAGAGAGCTTAGGGAAGTCCATTTTCTAAATGAGAGTAAAATACACATAGGGCGTCCCTCCCATGTTACCTGAGGTTCCCGAGTCTTCCATATATGACATTCCCAGCGGCTATCCCATTATCTGGAAACGAAGATAAGGTCAATTATTATAATTTTTGCGGCTTTCGGAAAACCAGTCTCAGTGTTTATATGCAGTATGAGAAAGCATTATTTTTTTTTGTCTTTTGCTATCTTCGTGGAACGCGTACAATCGGCTTTTAAAAAAAAATGGTGTCACTTCTAAACGACCATCAAGAAGTCCGTCACAGGTAGTAATTGCAAGAAGAGAGTGACGCTGTAAAACCGAAAAGAACTTTTGAGTCGACACCAAAAAAAAAAGAAAAGCTTGGCATAGACTTCCTAGATGCCAAGTGACCTCTAAAAGTCCCGAGAGGAGCGTCAGCGGCGTAACACACGCGCCCGATGCGGAAGAAAACTGACCCTACCTACGCCCGGGCAAAGGGTCTGGAATGGCTTACCGCTCTTCCGTCGGCGTGCGGCGGTCATGGGCCACCGAGAGAAATCCTCGCTGGATCACTTCTTACTACACCGTCGATTTCACCTTTATTTATATTATTTATATTTTTTTTACAAGCGTTTATAACTGTCGAATGAGTTGCTTGCTCTTCTGAAAACCGTCGTGATTTTAATCGTGAAACGTACGTATTAATGGAGAAATTAATGTGGAAATAAGAGGGAACACTTAGCGACGTTTGGTGTTAGCGGGCCCGGTTGAACCTGCCGGATGACGTCAGCAGCAACCCCGTAACCCCAGAGGTCGTCTGCAAAGCTTTTCCGTCCGTAAGGTGTCCCGCTAGAAAGGCGAAGTTGGCACGGCGCCCAACTTGCATGTACTGTGTCGCTGGTGCAGAGGTGGCCGAGGAAGAGGCTGTGCATACTAATCGGTGCCACGGACGGAGACGGCGACGGGGTAGTTCCGTAGTTAAGGTGAAGGTGGTGCGGCCGGCAGAAGGCGGAAGGGAAGCCCATTTTCGCGCAAACAAGATTCATTAAAAAAAGAAAACGTTTTGGACAGACTTTACTTTATAGGAACCCACGCATCCCACACTTTCTATTTATTTTTTATATTTTTAGAATCTTTTTGTTATTATATATATTTTTTTTGCTAATTCACACAAGATTTTATTCATGTTGCCAAAAACACAGAAGACGCATGGTGCACATACCAGCATGTAAAGTAGCCGTGTGGAAGGGTGGTATTAGGGCACGTTAATCTAGCAGGTGCCCCGGGCGACCACCGCAAACATGCTAGGCGCTGCTGTTGCTGCCGCTGCTCTGGTATTGCTGGCTTCAGACATACCCGAGTTGCAGGCTCGGCAGAAAAAAAGGAGGCTTTAAGGTTAACGTAGCGAGCCTGGCAATACTCGGGACAAAAAAAATATTCGGGTGGTTGCAAGAACAAATTCTAACAAGCATATTACGGTAATTGAAATTCATTACGAGACCGTACATGCTGCAAGAAGCGCAATTATAAAGCGCACGTAAAAAAAAAAAATGCTGTTATACATGGACCGCAGTTATACCCAGGCTGGACGGAAGTAATCTGGGGCAAGTCAATAAGGGGTGAGTGTAGGGGGGGGGAGGTAAGGTATTAGAGGGGGGGGAAGGGGGGGTTCTCTGGCATGTGGCAATCTGGCAGAAGAGAGAGACTTCCCCGCTAATTTATTTGGGTTTCATTCATAGATCCAGTCGATCGTGCAACATGTTTATTTATTTGTTGTCTTTTTTGTGGCTCGTAAAAAGGCGACTCCTTTTTTTTCTTGAAAGTTGGTTTATATACTTGTTTTTTAAAAATAATATAAGTTCACTTACTCCATAGTCTTCGATATATTTACTCCACTCCGTAGTGAGATTAGCCGAATGCGTATGTATGGAAAAAAAAACAAAAATTTCGAGTGAGGTTTTTTCTTATTTTTTCCACGCAGTTGTTCAATGCTTGTGGTCCGTCTCGCGTCCTTCTCGGCGTTGGGAGGGCAAGACGGGGGCCGGCAAGGGTGGTGGGAGGACCGCGCAGGGGAAGAAGGACCGAGGGAGATATCCTACTCTGATGTGTAGGTCTTGGACGGGGAGGGGGAGGGGGAGAGAATAAGACTGTTTTTCTTTTTTTGTAATCTTTGTTTGTTATTGTTTTTGGTTCGAGTGTGTAGAGGGATGAATGGA